GCAATCATTAATAATCTAGACTGCCTTAAAATTTAAAAACTTCTGCTCTGCAAAAGACAATATCAAAGAATGAGAAGAAAGCCACAGACTAGGAGAAAATATTTGCAAAAGACATTATCTGATAAAGGATTGTTACCCAAAATATCCAAAGAACACCTAAAATTCAACAATAAGAAAATAAGCAACCTGATTAATACGTGAACCAAAGACAAGATGACAAATAAGCATATGAAAATGCTCCACATCAGATGTCATTAGGGAAATGCAGATTAAGAAGAAATATCACTACACACATTAGAATGCCCAAAATCCAGAACACCAAAAACACTAAAAGCTGGTAAAGATGTGGAGCAACAGGAATTCTCATTCATTGCTGGTGGGGATGCAAAATGGTACACCCACTTTGGAAGACAGGCTGGTGGTTTCTTACAAAACTACATATTCTCGGTGAAATGGGTTGAAGATGGTCAAAAGGCACAAACTTCCAAAAAATAAGTCCTGGAGATATAATGTACAGCATGGTGACTGTAGCTAATAATATTGTATATTTGAAAGTTGCTAACAGAGTAGATCTCATCACAAGAAAATAACTACATGTGGTGATGGATGTTAACTACATTTATTGTTGTGATCATTTTGTAATATATACATATCTCAAAACAGGTTGTACACCTGAAACTAAAATAATGTTATACATCAATTATATCTCAGTAAAAGACAAACATTCTTTTACCATATGATCCAGCAATCATGCTCCTTCATATTTACCTAAAAGAGTTGAAAACTTAGTTCACACAAAAATCTGTTTTATTCATAACTGCTAAAACTTGAAAGCAAACAGGATGTCCTTCGCTAGGTAAATGGATAATAAGCTGGCACATCCAGACAATGGGATATTATTTTGCACTAAGAAGAAATGAGCTATCAAGCCATGGAAAACATAGAGGAAACTTAAATACATATCACTAAGTAAAGAAGCCAATGTGGAAGCATACTGCATGATTCCAGTGGGATGATTCCATTCTGGAAGCAAAACTATAGAGACAATAAAAAAATCAGTGGTTGCAGGAGACAGGGAGAGAGACAAATAGGTAGAGCAGAGAGGACTTGGAAGGCAGTGAATATACTCTACATGGTATTATAATGACACACATATGCCATTATACTTTTGTCAAAATCCATAGAACATACAGCACCAAGAGTGAACCCAAAGGTGTCATGTGTCTGCGTAGGTTTCTCTTTGGTAAAAAATGTCCTACTCTGGTAGGGGACGTTAATCCCGGGGGAGGCTGTGCATGTGTGGGTGCAAGGGTATATGAGAACTCTCTGTACCTGCCTCTCAATTTTGTTGTAAACCTAAAACTGCACAAAAAACAAAAATGAAGTCTTAAAAAATAAATAGCATAACAATTTTGTAAATGCCATATCTGTGTGCTTGTTTTGTTTTTGATAAGTATGGTTTATTTTTATGTTGTTTATATCCTTTCGACATTTTGATGTCCCAGATCCTCCTTAAAAGCAGGCATGGCCGGGAACACAGGGTGTTAACATATTGAAAAGCTTGTTCACCAGTTGGTAAAGAGCTGTCGCCCAAGAACTCTGAGTGCCAACCACAAGGCCACCAGTTCTTCCTATAAGACTCCCCTCCCCTGCTTTTTTTTTTTTGGTATCATTAATGTATAATTACATAAGCAACATTATGGTTACTAGACTCCCCTTATTATCAAGTCCCCCCCACATACCCCATTACAGTCACTGTCCATCAGAGTAGTAAGATGCTGTAGAATCACTACTTGTCTTCTCTGTGTTATACTGCCTTCCCTGTGCCACCCACCACCACATTATGTGTGCTAATCGTAATGCCCCTTTTTCCCCCTTATCCCTCCCTTCCCACCCATCCTCCCCAGTCCCTTTCCCTTTGGTAACTGTTAGTCCATTCTTGGGTTCTGTGATTCTGCTGCTGTTTTGTTCCTTCACTTTTTTCTTTGTTGTTATACTCCACAGATGAGTGAAACCATTTGATACTTCTCTTTCTCTGTCCGGCTTATTTCACTGAGCATAATACCCTCTAGCTCCATCCATGCTGTTGCAAATGTTAAGATTTGTTCTCTTCTTATGGCTGAATAATATTCCATTGTGCATATGTACCACATCTTCTTTATCCATTCATCTACTGATGGACACTTAGGTTGCTTCCATTTCTTGGCTTTTGTAAATAATGCTGTGATAAACATAGGGGTGCATCTGTCTTTTTGAAACTGGGCTGCTGTATTCTTAGGATAAATTCCTAGAAGTGGAATTCCTGGGTCAAATGGTATTTCTATTTTGAGTTTTCTGAGGAACCTCCATACTGCTTTCCACAATGGTTGAACTATTTTACGTTCCCACCAGCAGTGTAGGAGGGTTCCCCTTTCTCCACATCCTCACCAACATTTGTTGTTGTTTGTCTTTTGGATGGTGGCCCTCCTAACTGGTGTGAGGTGATATCTCATTGTGGTTTTAATTTGCATTTCTCTGATGATTAACGATGTGGAGCATCTTTTCATGTGTCTGTTAGCCATCTGAATTTCTTCTTTGAAGAAGTGTCTGTTCAGATCCTCTGCCTATTTTTTAATGGCTTATTTGCTTTTTGTTTGTTGAGGTACATGAGCTCTTTATGTATTTTGAATGTCAGCCCCTTGTTGGATCTGTCATTTATGAATTTATTCTCCCATGCTGTAGGATGTCTTTTTGTTCTACTGATGGTATCCCTCTCCTGCTTCTGCAAGTCTTAGCAACTTAAGGGCAATGCCTGGTACATCAGGGGGCTTCTGGCCCCAAACCCTGAACCCAACTCCCAGTCCAAGATTGCCATCCATTCTGATTGGTCCCATGTCCTACTGGTTGCATCCCTGAGATAGATAGGAAATAAGTATTTAAATAAACCATTCTTCCTTGGATATGTTCCTTCATCAGGTGTGACATGGGTTATAGAACTTCAAAAATTCTGAATTAATGTCTTAGTTGAACCAAGTAGTTAATGGTAATTTTAAAATGAAGAGGAAAGCCTGACTGTGAGTTTTTATTGAGAGGCCCTCAGAGACTGAGCAAAAGGCCTGGGGCTCAGCTCTGAATTAGAGAGGCCCCCCAAACCACCCACCAAATGACAGAGAAAATTTTTCATTGCTTATCTTCACTGCTTCACAACTCTACCTGTAATTCCTTCTCAACTAAGAAGGGAAATGAGTAGTTTTAATGCCTGTATATTTTTTAATTTTGAAACAAAATTAATTAGGAAAGCATTTGCAACAAAAGGGAGGTCAGTAGAAAAATATATTCTCTTTTTCTGTAGCAAACCCAGCAATCATGTCTAGGGTAGAGAGAGATGTCCTAAAATTTTACTGCTCTCTTTCCATTCCCAGAGCTGTCAGGTGGGATGAGGGGGTCGGTCCATTTTCAAATTAACATGTGATGAGTTAAAGAAAACAGTGGTTCTAAAACTTTGTGCTGCGGGGGGAATTCCAGGGTGGATGACTGTTTTCTTCAGCAAAATCCCAAAGTAGGGCTTTTTGGTTTAGAAAAGGGAGACACCACACCCTGTCAAACCCAACTCCCCATACAGAGAAGGGGGAAGAGGGAAAATAGCAAGTGAGCAAGTGAGTGCCATCAGAGGAGAGAGAGATTGAAAGAGAGAGCGAGATGATGGAAGGAAAGGATTGAGGAAGAAAAGTAAAATGTTCTTTCAGGTTAAATAATGGGAGCTTTTGAGTGATAGCCTGGGAAGGAGGGAGCCATGCAGGTTTCTATAAGAAGAGCAGAGAAACATCTTGGAGAAGTGATCTGGGCCCCACTACATGAAAGCAGGTGAAGTCCTGATGAAGAAGCATCAGTGAGGCACTGTCTGTGGGGAGCAGGTTGTAAGAGTAGTGATGGAGATGGCAAAGACAACACTGCCAGACTTTCATAAAAACAAGGAATAAAGAGATAGAATAGTAGCTGGACAAAGACTTGAAATAACAAGAAGGGGTTTTGGTTTTTTAAATGGGTGATATTATTGTATATTTGTATGCTGATAGAAGTGCTCCAATAGTAAGGGAAAGAATAGAAATAACCAATCACTCATTGCAGGAGCAAAATGCTGACATAGAAGAGAGAAGATGGGATCAAGTGCATAAGATTTGCCCTTAAATGGGATCTCAGAGTTCATCAACCCTACAGAGATGGATGGCCGAGAACCTGGCACATACACTGGTAAGAGGATGGATTTGGTTGTGGAAAGATTTTTAAAGGGTCTTTTAATTTTCCCAGTGAAATAAGGAGCAAGGTCATGAGCTGAGAGTGAGGAAGGGGAGGGTGGCTGGAGGGCTGAGAAGAGAAATAGCCACCATGAGGAGTCAGGGAGGGAAGACACCAGGGAAGGGTCGCTGCACAGAGCTGAAGCCTGTGTGAGGCTTGTGTTCATGAATTGAAAGTGGGACCTGTTCGCATGATTGTGAGTTGTTTTGGGTTTTTTCCCAGCAAAGTACAGCCGCTCTGCTGATGGCACAGGGAAGGCATCTAGAGCCGGGGCAGCTTTTGCTGGCATGTACTACAAGACGGAGGAAAGGCCAAGGGAGTTGAACATAATGGAGCAATGTCAGTGATGGATCATGGGATTTTAGTGGGTAAAGGCAGATTTTTTTTGATACATATAAACCAAACATTAAGGCTTCAAATCCAGTTCTATTGACCTAGAAGTCCCTGCTTTATTCCTTTATTGGAAAGCTTCTCAAACTTGAGAATACAAAACACTATCTGGGGACTTTGTCCTAAATGCAGATTCGAGGGCCATCCTGAGAAATTCTGCCTCATAGCCATTGTTTTCTTTGTAACAAGTACCAGGTCATAGTGATGCGGGGGGTCTGTGGATCATTCTCTGAAAAATACTGCAATTGTTTTAGGTGAAAACATTTGCGAGTGGAATTTGGGAGAGGGGAACTGGGTTACCCAGATAATTGTTTACACTTTCCATTTCACAGTCATGAAATGATGATGTTCCATATATTTGGGTTTCTTAAGATAACATATAACAGATAACATAACTAAAAGTCAGCTACTCTGATGAATAATTCTGCCATGGCTGATGCAATAAATTCAGTCGCTTTATTCTTCCACCTTCATTAGGTTGCTTGGACAGACACAGACACAAGTACGACACCGAATGTTGACTCTGAAAACTAGTTTAACATGGCTTTACATCCCATGCATCTGTTTTCCAGAAAGCCAAAGAACTGTGTTCTGTTTGGGGAGAAAAAGATAAACTTTCTAAGAGAAACAATCATTTCCTAAATGTGTAAAATAGCCAAGTCAAATCAAAGACATTTTACAAACATATAGAATAAATTAAATTATGTGAATAAAACTGTTTAGCATAAGGTTTAAGTGATAGGAGAACACATTAGGGAGACGATAGGGCATTCATTTCCGAGAGGGAAAATAAGAGGTTCTATATAACTCTGACAGTTAAGATTAAGAGAAAAAAAAACTGTATCAGCCCTTTATTAATTCTCCAATGTACCAATAGTGCTGCATCTGTCTGAAGACTGTATGGGAGAACAGCCTGAAGAAATACATCACCAAAGCTTGGTCTGGTTTTTTAAAAACCGTTTTCTTCTAATATTTTTTCTACTGATTTGTATTCAGCGTATTATGCCTCGTCATTTTGAGTGATTTTAACATCTCACCTGGGTTACTATTTCACATGTTACCTCAACACTCATCAAATATAACCACAACCCCGAGTTTCCAGGAAAAGAATTGGAAAGGAAAATATTTATGCAAGCGGAGAAATCAAATGCAGCCTACCACCATCTTGCTCTTTCCCACTGGCCCCCTCTCTTTTTAAAAACCCAAAAGCCAGATTGGCATGGCTTCTTGTAGTCATTATGTAATAGTAGTGCTAATTATGGTGAAGTGCAAGGAGAAGTTCTAGCTTTAAGTTTCAGTGTTCGACTTACCCTTGAAGCATTTGGGGATTTCAATGGTGCCATCTATACACTGAGCATCCTCTGTATAGCTACACTTCTTTTCCTTATTTTTGCAGAAGAAAGAAATTTTTTCACCATGCAGCATTCCATCCTTAAATTTTTCTTGGAGCTTTACTCTCTGTCCTTCATATAGTACAGTGGCTTTTTTAACAGATAATTTACAAGATGCTGAAAGAGACAATATTTTTAGTCTAAACTTAGGCATTCAGTTAGTCTCTTTTTAATAGAATGTGGCATTTGGATGAGCAGATGAGTACACCTCAAACATATTGCTCAAGACAAGAAGATCCCAAGAATGGACAGAGTAACAGTATCAGTGCTGACAGTGATTCTTTATCAACAGAACCATTAGTCATGGCTTCCAACATGGTCTTTTCCTCCCCTAGAGAAGCCATATGAGAAAGTCAGAGCAGGAGCATCAAATTTTGGACTTCAGTAAAAAAGAACTTGTACCAAATGCTGCCATTTCATAAAAGCTTACACTATCCCACTCAGATCCCAGTTATTGAAATGGTATACCCATCAGCCAGCCACTGTGAGAGTTGGCTGATAATAGCTCACAAATGCTCCTTCTCTGAAAAATTGCCTTCAGCCATAAGGGAGTCAAATCTTCTCCTAGGGGGCTATGCCCACAGCCCCCAACCCCAGGGTCGAGGAAGGGCGCAGCCCACAGCCAGTGGCTAAGTGGCCAGGTCCCCCTCCCCCTTGGTGAGGTCAGATCTGGGGTAGAAGTTATGGCTCACCGCTCCCAGGGGCATGAAACTGTAGCTAGACTCTAGCTGAGACCTCATGCTTGTTCAAAACTTAGTCCCTGGATCAGCAGCAGCAGCATTTGGACACTTGGTACTAATGCAGATTCTCAGGTCCTATCCCAGATGTGCCAAATCAGAAACTCTGCGTTTAAACAAGCCCTCCAAGTAATTCTGATGCACTGTGAATTTTGAGAACCAGTGTCTACTCTACGCTACTAGTGTCACTGTCTTTTTCCTGAAACCCTCGCTTAATTAACTGCACTTAATCCCCTATCTCAGGCTGTGCTTCTAGGGGACCCCAACTAAGACTCTGATCATACATCACTTTGCCTGTTATGCCTAATTTCCTTTTCTGCTCAAACTGTCAATCCCACATCAATCTGAACAGAAATGTAGTGTTAGGTTGTTTTTTGCCTAAGCATGGCACTGCTAGGATCAAGCACAGACACCTAACTCAAAGGAACCAGCATCTCAGGGAAAAATGGCCAGTTAGTGATGAATCCTTTAGTTGAGAGGTCCTGGTATACAGTCAAGCCAGATTCAAGGTGAGTCAGTAGAGCAACACGGAGATGAGAAAGACCATGAGGACAATGAGATATGGAAGGACTAGGAATAGTTCCTAATTTCCAATTCCAGTCCTCAGGAGGGCCACTTGATTTTCATTTCTTCATCATCAATGTCCATACGATTGCCTGTTGCCCAATTATAAAAAGCCCTCATTTCCTTGAACTAGTTTGAATATGTGTTTGGTTTTTGCAACAAGCAGAGTCTTGACTAGAGAAAGCAGAAAAGGATGCTCATAAGCAAAGACCTAAAAGCAATTACAGGAAGCCCACACAATCTTCCACCATATTATCAATGCTTACAAAGGATTTTTTTTATGTCATTCAGTTTAATCTCAAGCAAGGTTGCTAAGCATGAAGCTTCCTCACGCACATGTGACTCCTAAAGTCTTTCCCATACCATTTACTGTGAAGCAAGTCTGAGCAACAAGTAGGAAATGACTGGAACAAGAAATTGGCAAGTAAAGGTGATCCACTGGATAAATTCAGAGACATTTTAAGACCCCATCCATGTTTCATACCTTTACAACTTGGCTGTGCAGACCAGTTTCCAAATTTGTTACATTCTACTTCTTCTGGGCCATCCAATGCATATGTATCATGGCAACCATATGTGGCTTTATCCTTGTAATAAAGAACTTGTTTTGCAGGATAGTTCACAAATCCATTGTCTGGTCTTGATGGGAATGGGCATTTTACCTCTAAAATGTTTGTTCAGTAAGACATTAGTATAAATGGTAGTATTGTCCAGTAGTTACAGAATAGCTACATTCTAATCTCTATTACATTACTGAATCATGAGTGTTCCTGTAGCTGGAATGCAATTTTTAGGAACATTGGTGCTTAATTTAGCCCCCTTATACTCACAGGTTCCTGGATGTTGCAAAAGAAAACAACAATACTTTGAAGGTAAGTTAATGAGTTACTAAGTTCTTTGGGCTCTCACATAATCATACGGTATTATTTATTGGAAATTTCATCTCCACAGAGTCTAAAATGGTGGGATTGAAAGAAGGGGGAAAAAATCTGTCTCTTTTAATTGGAAAACCATGAAATTAAAACACCAAGACTCCCTCCTTGCTCACTGGCACACCATTATTTGGATTTTAAATGTTAAATCTAATTCTTGTGATTGTCTTCAGACTACACAACAAGTGGCATGAACTATGAAGGAGAAAAATGGTGCCACTTCCTGGCCTTCTTAGGATCCTCAACAGTAGAGTCCCAAACCCAGATCCCTGTTTACTCCAACATAAGACAGTGAGGCTGGAGCCAGGAGCATGGTCCTCTTGGGAAGTAGTTTAATGAGGTAGTTTAAGAGAACAAACTCCAGAGTTGGAACACTTGGGTCAATTCTGGCTCTTCCACACATGAATGAAAAATAATCTATGAGCCTATACTTTAATACTTAAAAAAAATATTCCATGGAAGAAAAGTTCTTCTCTGTAGAAGAATGCCAGCTAATACATATAGAAGGAAAGACAGAGAGAGTCACCATTTTGCAGCCACCAGTGTCATAACTGACTGAGTCAAGGAACATCAAAGGATGCTAAAATGACTTCTGGAGAATGGATATTCACACAATACCAAAATATCCCCCATAGGTTGTTTATTAATTCCAAAAAAAAAAGATGCTTTTCCAAGAGAAAATCTGGCACATCCTAACTGACGAAGGGATCAAACTGAGCATGACCAGGGATGGACTGATACTATGTGTCTTCCAGTGTGATTCGATGTACATTCACCAAAATTATTTAACATCAGTCTAATCATGAGTAAGAAATCAACCAAATTCAAATTGCAGGACATTCTGCATGACAACTAGCTAGAACTTACTCTTCAAAGATATCAGTGGGTGGCAGGGAATCGTTCTTGATTTAAAAAGACTAAAGAGACAGGACAACTAAATAGAGTATGTGAATCTTGATTAGATCCCACATAAAACAACATGCATGTATAATGGATATTTCTGGGTCAGTTGGAAAAATTTCCATATGAAATAAATGTTGTTAATTGTTTATATTACTATAACTGTTTAAATTATTATTGTTAATTATTTAAAACATGTTAAGTGTCTTGGGTACAGTGATAATATAAGAGAATATCTTTGTTCTTAGGACATTCATGTTGAAGTGTTTATGGTAAATGTCATGATGTATACAACTTATTATGGTTCAGGAAAAATGTATCTTATCTGTGGAGAGAAAGAGAGAATGTCACAATATGTTGACAATTGAGAACATCTAGGGGAATGGTTGGGAAAAAAAAGAAAAGAAAAGAGCCTTCTACTTAGGAGAACTGAATGGGATGACATATATTTGGTGTGAGACCAGTACCTGGCCTAAAGTTAAGTCCCTCAAAAGGTGCTATGTATTATTATTGGCAGTTTCCCCATGCTAAAAAGCACTAATGTTTTGGAATATGTAAAATATCTACTACAGGAGAAGTTAACTGTCCTTAGCATAACTCCATGTGTGCATGAAATTCTCTATCACTTGTTATACAGCTAACACATTCAAAGATAGTAATTATAGGTTAATTTGAAGGAGGAAGAATTTTCATAATGTTTTAAACCAAATATTCTTGTGATTCTTAAAATTAAGTAAAGACTATAAAAACTTACAAAACTCTGGCTGCAACTCAGTTTTTCACTTTCATCTCCTAGGACTCACCAGTTTAATGCAGGCTTCTCTTCACCAGCCTGACCATGATATCCTGCTGTCCCCGTGCACACCCTATTCCTCCAGGCCTCCCTGACTTCCCACATCCTGTGCTCTGTGGGGCATGTCTTGCCCTCGTTCTCCACTCTTCCTCGGGGGAGCCTTCCCAGATAACTCCAGACAGTTCATTGCACTATACAAAGCTCTCCTAAGATGAGAAACCAGGTCTGGTTCATCTGCCTACCACCCTGCCTGACACATTGTAGGTGCCAGGAAACATTGATTGAAACATTCAGTGATAGTGGAATTTTCAATACTTTTCAAAAACAGGATTGTACGCTACCATAATTATTTTGTCTTATCATTGCACTTACCCCTGCATTCTGGTAATTCAGTCCAGTTGCCATGAGCTGTGCAGGTAATTGTATCATTTCCAAACATCGCATACTGTGGCAAACATTCAAAGACTGCCTTGTCTCCATAGAGGGAATTGTTCCCAGCCAGTGGCTTATAAACACTAAGTGTGGCAAACTTAGGTATGGGTGGCCGAGGGCATGTTAGAGCTGGAAAAGGAAAGAACTATCACTTCTATGAAAATGATTGAGTCTTTTAAATATACTCTTTCCAGAAAGGAGAAAAACCCAAAGATTCACTGGAGAAAATGCAAAATTTAATCAGTTGCAGGGTAAAAACAGCCAATTGTGGAAGTCAAACAAGCAAGTATGATCGGCAAATCAGATGTCCGAACCAGTCAGAAAACTAGAAATGAAGTAAATTTAAGTCTTGCTATCACTAATTTGCCTGTTAAGGTTAACACAACGCTTAGGTTTCCACAAGTCTCTGCTCCAAATGCTCCTTTAGAAAATGTTTCCGGAAGTCGGCATTGGTGGGAGACAATGCTGAGGGACTGCCCTGCCATAGTTGCTGAGGACAGCAACTTGGCGCAAAGTCATTTGTGACATTTGAGTTCCACTGCTGGTTCAGATTTGTTTGTTCCTATTGAATGCTGCTGCTTTTGCACTGTGCGAATGGAGTTTTTACAAGTAGCTTCCCACAGAGACATGGCAGTAGGTTTTCATCCTGACCTGACTAATGTGGAGTTGCAGTCAATCCAGGGAAAGTTATACCAACATAATGGAATTTAGTGCAGACCAAAAATGTGGTTTAATTTGAATCATCCAGATCCTTGCTACTTACTCAAAGTGTGATCTGTGGGCCAGCAGCATGGAATTTGCCTGGGAGCTTCTTAGAAATGCAGAAGCCCAGACCCCACCCCAAACCCATTAATCAGAATCTGCTATTTAACAATATGCCCAGGTGATTTATATGTGCATTATAGTATAAGAAGCACTCTTTTAGATTAGATTGAAGCTAAAGTAGGCTTTCTGCTTATAATGGAAGAAAAGTGACTGTATAATTGATATACATCTGCTCAAAAGGGAAATCAATTTATAGGAACCATGGTGATTCCTCCTGCTGACTAAAACACTCTACTTAATTTATCCTTAAAAACTATGTTTACAGTTTAGTTTTTCTTAAAACTAAATCCTCGGGGGAGCCTTCCCAGATAACTCCAGACAGTTCATTGCACTATACAAAGCTCTCCTAAGATGAGAAACCAGGTCTGGTTCATCTGCCTACCACCCTGCCTGACACATTGTAGGTGCCAGGAAACATTGATTGAAACATTCAGTGATAGTGGAATTTTCAATACTTTTCAAAAACAGGATTGTACGCTACCATAATTATTTTGTCTTATCATTGCACTTACCCCTGCATTCTGGTAATTCAGTCCAGTTGCCATGAGCTGTGCAGGTAATTGTATCATTTCCAAACATCGCATACTGTGGCAAACATTCAAAGACTGCCTTGTCTCCATAGAGGGAATTGTTCCCAGCCAGTGGCTTATAAACACTAAGTGTGGCAAACTTAGGTATGGGTGGCCGAGGGCATGTTAGAGCTGGAAAAGGAAAGAACTATCACTTCTATGAAAATGATTGAGTCTTTTAAATATACTCTTTCCAGAAAGGAGAAAAACCCAAAGATTCACTGGAGAAAATGCAAAATTTAATCAATTGCAGGGTAAAAACAGCCAATTGTGGAAGTCAAACAAGCAAGTATGATCGGCAAATCAGATGTCCGAACCAGTCAGAAAACTAGAAATGAAGTAAATTTAAGTCTTGCTATCACTAATTTGCCTGTTAAGGTTAACACAACGCTTAGGTTTCCACAAGTCTCTGCTCCAAATGCTCCTTTAGAAAATGTTTCCGGAAGTCGGCATTGGTGGGAGACAATGCTGAGGGACTGCCCTGCCATAGTTGCTGAGGACAGCAACTTGGCGCAAAGTCATTTGTGACATTTGAGTTCCACTGCTGGTTCAGATTTGTTTGTTCCTATTGAATGCTGCTGCTTTTGCACTGTGCGAATGGAGTTTTTACAAGTAGCTTCCCACAGAGACATGGCAGTAGGTTTTCATCCTGACCTGACTAATGTGGAGTTGCAGTCAATCCAGGGAAAGTTATACCAACATAATGGAATTTAGTGCAGACCAAAAATGTGGTTTAATTTGAATCATCCAGATCCTTGCTACTTACTCAAAGTGTGATCTGTGGGCCAGCAGCATGGAATTTGCCTGGGAGCTTCTTAGAAATGCAGAAGCCCAGACCCCACCCCAAACCCATTAATCAGAATCTGCTATTTAACAATACGCCCAGGTGATTTATATGTGCATTATAGTATAAGAAGCACTCTTTTAGATTAGATTGAAGCTAAAGTAGGCTTTCTGCTTATAATGGAAGAAAAGTGACTGTATAATTGATATACATCTGCTCAAAAGGGAAATCAATTTATAGGAACCATGGTGATTCCTCCTGCTGACTAAAACACTCTACTTAATTTATCCTTAAAAACTATGTTTACAGTTTAGTTTTTCTTAAAACTAAACAAAGTCTCTTAAAAAATTGCTTCTGCTAGGACAGATCTCACCAAAATGTTAAAACCTCATAACTACTATAACTATAATGTCTGGGTCTCCTGGTCAAAGACTGGATTCATGAAAATCGCAAGTTAGGGAACATAAGGATGCCCTTCCCTGTATAAGCAAAGCCCAGAGTGGACCCAGACCGCTCCGAACATCAGTGCCTTTTGGAGGAATCTCACCCAGCTCCTCGGATGAAGGACTCTGAGCTTATTGTGAAGGTTACTTGCCTTGTCTCTCTCACCACTAGGCATATTTGTTGAGGTCTCCTTTAGCTAAATCTTCAGCTTTGTAGCCTGAATGTTGAAAGCAGAATGTGGCACATATGAGGGCCTCAGAACATGTTTATTGAATACATGAATGAATGAGGTTCCAGAGTGGGAGAAAACTATTTGATCCCACTGTTTCCCATTCTTCTATTCAAATGGAGGCAGGCCTGATAGACCAATGCCACACATATCCAAGCCCCTGCCAAAACACTGTGGGAGTACCAGAGGTAGTAAACCCGGAAACCAGGTGCAGGACACAAAGGGGTCCATGAGTAGAACGCTTCCCTTTTGTCATTTCAAAGTGGTTTCATCCTCCAGGATGACCATTCCCCATATGGCTGGCCAGCCATCTCATTGAGCATGGACGGAGGGGTTTCCGGGGCTTGGAACTTGGTGCTAAAAGCAGGAGCATTGCAGGCAAACCGACTGATCACTGTCCCCATAACTGGAACCCACAGACTCACGGGCACAGACAGGCAGGTCAGGACTCCATTTTCCTTCCTCAGTACATTTACTGGAATCAGTTCCATTCAGATAAAATCTGCAAAGGAAAATTTAATCTACCAAGCAGTAAGATAATCCATCAATGGCATCTCAAATGTCTTCTCTACTGAGCATTGCTTCAGATCAATGCTATTGATTTCTTTCCCATTTTGTAATGCTGTTTTCCTAAGGAACTTAATGCTTATCTCAGGCTCATGCTGCAGGTGAATGGTTGAAAAATTAGAGGGTTCCCTAGCTGGTAGACGTTGGAGCCAAACCCCCAAATCCCTCATCGCCAACCAGTGGGCCAAGTTAACTGCTTCTTACATAGAGCAAAGAACCATCTCTTTATCAGGATCACAAACATGAACCAAACCGAGTAATCTCTACTATTTGTTTCTGTCAGCCTACTGATATGAATGCATAGAGACAATGAGGCCTATTTCCATTGAAAATTTTAAATTCTATCCTTGAAGCCAATTTTTCAAGGTCATTTGTCATCAGACCCACTAGTAAATTGGTGATTCAGAGGAATGGACTACATTTCTCTTTCACTCATAGTACTTCTTAATCTCCAATACCAAACAAGAAACCTTAGTAAAACTTTGCTGTAACATATAGCCAACATGCTATGGACAATGTCACCAGTGGTGTCTTTGTTCATAAGGCTGATGAGCTATATGATCAATTGTCAATGCTTACTTCCTGGGGATGCTGTACTGCATTATATGAAGATTAAGAAAATTATGTTCTACATCATCACACTTCCAAACTTCTGAATAGAATCCTTTTCTATAGATCG